AACATGGCTCGGATTTTGGCTCTTAAATCATCAGAAACTGTGGCGTTCTCTGATGGCAAAGATGGAGCCCTTCCATCAGGATATGATTTTGTTACATCAACAGACGCCTCCCTACTAGCACCCTCACCCTCACTCACTTTGGATTGATCTGATTTTGCCCGGATCTCTCCTTCCTCCAATTCTGTTTCTCTTTCTGAGTGATGGTATCTCTTCCTCCTGTGCCTGTGCTCATTATCATAGGAACTTTTCTGCTTGCTATGGTGTTGAGAGCGTCTATATTCATCATCAGAAGAGTCATCATAATTGCGTCGATGTCGAGAATGCTGATGCTCATCATCAGATGATTTGTCATGCTTGTGATGGTGATGAGAACTCTGATACTCATCATCATCAGGAGACCTATCACGTTTGTGCCGGTCTTCGTCATCAGATATACCATCGTGCTTATGCCTAAATCCAGCATCTTTGTGCTTTGAAGAGGAATGCCTTTTACCATGCTTGTGTCTATCCCTGCTGTGGTCTGATGAGTGATGAGATCGCCTCTTTCTCCTAGAGTGCTTACGATCTCTTCCTTTCTCGTCTTCTGCTTCTTCCTCCTGCCCATCATCAGCTTCTTCATGTTGTTCTGATCTTGAACGGTACTTCCTCTTTGATCTTCGGTCTTTATGTTCAGTGCCAGAATAATTCTTCTCATTCTTTTCAGTTTTATCAGATGTATTAAACTCAGGCTGCTGTGAACTGCCCTCTCTTTCTTTTCCCAAAAGATTTATACCATCTTTTCCTGATCCAGAGTACCCCGACTCAGGTGGCTCTAGAGACAAGTCACGTGATGGTTCAGTTTTTAGTGGTGCAGCACCACTTTTAATCATGGCTGCAAACATCTTTGCCCGTTTCAACCTCTCAGCCCTCAGCTTCTGTTCCTTACTCAAGGAAGCTTCAGAGGAATCAGCCTCACTTGCAGCTGCAATCGCAGCCGTCTTTGCCAGAGCATTGGCGATAGGAGCAGTAACATTTGGCTCCCCGCTCTTTTCAGACAGATGAGACACTTGGCCTCCAGAGCTTGGAGTTGGGACACCTTCGCTACTATGGGTCTGACTGCTACCATTTAGGGATGTCTTGGAGAGAATCTCTAAATGGGGATTCTTAATGCCTCTTCTTGCAGCCTGAAGAATTGCAGCAGCTGAAGCTGCATCGACAGAGACTCCAATTTGTGGCTGGGCTGCTTTGGAAGGAGAGTCTTGTCCATCCTTCTTTGACTTCCCAATCACCATCTTAAACTTCCCTTTCCTGTCAGAATCATAGGGTATATCAGATCCTACAGATACAACATCACTTTCTCTGCTAGCCTTCTTCTCTGCTCCAAGGCTGGATGAATTATGCCTCTCAGGAATAATGCCCCTGCCAGTTAACTTTGACTGCAAATAAAAAAATAATACCATTAATACGACACAAGAAAATGAGGATAAATTAGAAAGCTCAGGCTTTGTTGGTAAAATCTTAGAATTTTCCATCATGATTTAATGAAGGGTCAATCATAACATCTTGCGTACATTAAAAAGAGATGCTATATGATAAACAAAACAAAATAAAATCAATAATTAGGAATAACTCAAGGCATGCAATGCAACTTGAAGTCCAAAAGGAATAAGATCAGATTGCACAAAATTCTTCTATCCACACTCTCATGCAGTCATGCCAAGAGAAGATTGAACAAACCCCTCTAATAACAGGAATTTCATTTAAAAATGGAAAAGAAAACTTTAGAATACTGGAAAAATAAAATGGAACACACCTCTTCAGCCTTTTGAAGAACTTCTAGATAATAAGGATGATATTGATTAGATGGCAACAGGAAAGGAAACCTCCCATGCTTAACATCTTGCTCAGCCAAAACAGACTCAAACTCTCTCCCATTTTTCATGATGAATTCAACAATCTTATCAACCACTCTTTTTAAATCAGATGGAGGCTCCACAACAGGTAATTTAACCTTTAATGTGGGTGGCAAAGCTGAACCCCTTGATTTGTCAGCAGCAGAGCTATCATTTTCTTTCTTCATCCCACTTGCAGTTCCAGCCTTATTTGTACTTATTGAGCGGTTTCTTTTCAAGACAAAAGCTTTGTCTTTCAGAGGTGGCAAATGTTTATGAACAGTCTTATCCTTCTCATCAAGACTTGAAGAAGATTCTTTCTGTTCTGCTCCACTTTGTACAGTTTTATTAGCAGAACCAGCTTCAACAGAGGTGTTTCTTTCATGTTCCGAGGCATTCAGTGCTGTGCCTTCCTCGTCTTCCCCAGACCCATACACTGTTCCCAACAAAGATAGCGCACCACCCCCTCCAATGCCACCTGTCTCAGATTTGATCCCTTCTTCCTGAGATTTGCCACTCAAAAGTTCTTGGTGATCAACAAGAAACCTGAAGTATGGATGGAGGGGATGATCAGGCATCAAGAATCCAAATGTTGGATTGTCTCCCTGTTTGACCCTCAAAACAATTTCTGACTGCCCACCATGTTTGCTTACAAATGTAGCTGTTCTTGCAATAATCTGATGTAGCTTTTCTGTGGGAGGCTGGAGAAGAAACAAAAGAAGAAAAGTCTCTTCATCAACAATGTGAACTTAACAACAGTAGAGTCCCTAGATCAATAAAAATCTTACAAATAATCCAAAAAAAAATAATGAAAATGAATAGTAAATATATAGAATCTCACATATATTTAGATAACCACAAAAGATCAAGAAACAGAGTAAAGGAAGATATGTATCATCCCATTAGTTCTCAGTCATTAAGATTAGTGAAAAGTAACGAATTTCTATCATCCTAATCCCACCTGCATGGCCCCTTGTGATCACATCAAAAGGAAACAAGAACTCCATCTCTGCTCCGAGCATCTGAAACTTAGACATGTAAGCCTTAGAACAACACATGCACCTTACTCAACTATCATGCAACCCCACTGGAGAAATACAAAACAAACAATTATATCTAGATTATAAGAAAAGGCAGAAGGTAATTCGCTAACAAATAGTCAAGTACTTACTAGGTTTTGAAGCAAGCTCTCGGGTACAGGAAAGGGCGGACGAAAATCAGAATCAGCATCAGCATCCTTTTGCTCAGTGGATTCACCAGCATCTCCATAAGAAAAGGGAACAGCATTATACCCCCCAGCATTCATTGGTTCCTCACCATTTTCCCCATCTGAAACCAGAAGAAATGCGTCAAAAATCAGGTTTGCAGCCAGATGCCCATATCTACTTATGGTGTGAGAAAAACACTAAACCAAAAAAGGCGTCCACATATGACACAAAATAAAATAAACACGAAATGCCAGAACAAGGTAGGAATAGTCTCGAACTGGGCCTGTAGGCCCAATGGTTCGACGTGCTTGGGTGAAGTGGTCGGAGCTTCGAGCTCCACCACCGTCGTGAACTCCACCAAAAAGCATTCTGATGACCACGCGCCTCAGGGTGGAATGTTCACCTGGTCTGAGGATCAGTTGCTAACAATTAATTCCTACTAACTTACTAACCATTACCCTTGTCAAAAGAAAAAAAAAAAAAGGTAGGAATAGTCTCACTTGTTTCTCATAAAGACAAAACTGTTGCAAATTAGATTCCTTCCTGCAAACTTGGATAAGTAATGCATAATACTAATGCAAACACCTAAATCTCTACTCAATGCTAGACCCATGAAATGGAGAGGCGAGCTATATTTCTCATATGAAATTCCAAAAAGAATCTAAAAGGTTTAATTTCAATAATTTTTTTTCTATTTATTTCAGATTAACTAGAAGAAGCTAAAACTGGAGGAATAATTAGGATGGAAAAAAAAAAAAAATCAAATGTTATTACCTTGAGTCCCGGATGGCGATGCAGAGGGAGGAGGTAAATCCTGGTAACGTTCAACATCGAGCTCAGACTCCAAGTGACCATCCGGATTAAGCACCGGAGAGGAAGGATAGCACCGCTTTTTGCGGGGAGGCGGAGGAGAGGATAGGAGGTGGCGCACGTCGTATCGATCGATGAAGAGGGAGTTCCACTCCACGAGCGCCTCCGGGGAGTTAACGAACGATGCCATCGCGTCATCATCGAAGAGCAGCGCGTGGCGTCCCACCACCTCTAGATCCATGTCTGATCGTCTAGGGTTTCGTCTGTACCGTCCGGAGAGATAGGAACGGAATCAGCCCTATTTTCCTTTTTTTTAGCAGAAAAAACAGGGGTTTACGGAATTACAGGGAAGATATGCTACAAGCGTGTATATGTTGCGATGATGCCCTTTTAATTCATTTAATCAATAATTAGTCCCTTGAGTTTTTAATTTCCTTTACTTTTGTCCAAAAAGTTTTTGTACTATATGTTTACAGTTTATCAGCAATTCTGTATTGGACCATTAAATTGAAACACCAATGGAGCTCATAGGGAGCCCATTATTTTAATCAACTAGGCTGAGCCCATAAATTGTACCATTAGGCCCACTCATTTAATAAGGCCCATGGTAGCCCATTTCCATTTTCCGACACCTTTTGTCCCGGCTCCTGTCCCTTCCCCCAATCCTTGAACTGGTTTCGCATATACCATAAACTAACCACCTAACCACGTCTAGGTTTGAGTGGAAGAAATTTATTTTCTTAATCCTTGAATTGGTTCATCATATATTATAAATTAACCACCCAACAACATGTAGATATAAGCGGAAAATATTTATTTTTATATAAATAAAATTTTAAATTTGAATTTTATAAATCGAAAGATAAGTATTGAAAAAATTTTCTTTTTATGTGATTCGATATAATTCAATTTTAAATTAATTGAAACTCTATCTAACTTTTAAATACCAATAGATTTAGTATAATAATAAAAAAATTAAAAAAAAATTCCACAAGCCGATCTATGTTAACACCCAAAAAGGAAACTACAAGCCCATAATTCCTTTTTTAAGTATATAAGTGTATATAGTACAAATATCACGATTTAAATACAAAATCAACTTGAACTACACTTTACTAAAAATTTTATTGTAAAGTCAACCACATTATAGAGCTCGCCGGTGATATATAGGCACTGGTGGTTTTGGAGTTTGAAGTTTGAACAGAGGTTACATGCCTTCCTCTTCCCCTTAAAGCAAGAAAATCTACTTGTAAAACCCTATTTTAAAAGAAAAAAGGATTTGCAGACCAAAAGTCAACCATTGTAGAAAATTCAGCCTCCTTTTTATAGTCTGCTAATCTTTATTAATTTTTTTTCTTTTGAACATTGAGAATTTAAGAGAGAATGGTATATTTTCAAAGCGTTGGTGAGAGTTAAATTTTTAATTAATTACAATCAAATACTTAAGGTTTGAGGACAAACCATCGTCCCAAAGGCACTAGTCTTGCTAATCCTTATTATAAAAGCTCTTTTCTGTCCAGATTTAAAAAAACATTGTCCAAGAAATCCAAATAACCATATATGGAAGCAAATTAATGAACGTAAGTATACATTAATTCATTCCCCTTGGGCAAAGGCAAATTCTTTTGAGCGCAATGG